TGATAATCCATAGAGTTAGTTGAAAAATTGAACAAACATGACTTATTTGGAGGGGGGGGGACAATAAAGAAGGAGGTAGTCCAGCGTTCTGGATAGCATCTCATCACATGACGTGCTTTTAGCGGAAAAGTGGACCGAATTCAGGTATGATTTCAGCCGTGAAGTTGAGCGACGACAAACGATGCGCGCGCAAGGTGGTGTTGACGCTTCGCAGAAACTGAATCTGATTCGGAGAGATCTTGCCGAAGAAGAAGGGGAACTAAGAAGGTTTGCAAGGATGCTCTTATAACGTGGGTTGTACTAGCGCTGAAATATTTTTCTAGGTTATCCGAGCTGGAACATGAAACGCGCAATTTGACGAGAAGAAATGGTGAAAAGGAGATCCAATTGAATCAGCTAAGCGCTGAATTACGAGAGCAGCAGAGTGTGCTTCGTGCGGCGGCTAGTCGAGTAGAGGCCCTACAGTGGCAGGTAAGAATTGTTCACTTATAAACCTATTGGATTACCCCAAGCCACATTCCAGTGGCTATTGTTTTGGCTTTTTGTGAAGTTGTTGGATTACTCAAAAGCACATTCCACGCTGTCAGCGTGGGCGGAGTCATCCAATCATTTCACCGCTCTATTAGTGAGGTCTACCTTCCAAGATGGAAAAGTGGGCTGACGCGCCAGTGAGCAAGGAGCTGTGTCTTTAGTGACACAGTGACTACCCTTAGTAGCATGAAATGTGCCTTCGAGGGGTCTACATGTTAGGTTCGTCCAGTAGCGGTTGCTGTGCGGTGCGCACGCATGAGGACTGCGTAGTGGGCTAATATCCTTAAGGAGAGGGGCATTTAAAGGACTTGTTGTGAGAAAGTGGAACTATGATTTTGCAGTTAGAAGTATTGTCCTTCAAACTGATTCATCGACCCTGGAGCTCCTCCATCTTTGGGCTTAGAGAAAGTTCGGCTTGTCAGGGGCTTGTTTACGGGCAAATTGGTCTTACTGAATGATGATAAGTAGGGGAGGAAAAGGCTTTCGGAGTTGATCAAACATCTTGTTCGCTGCGGATGCAGGGGCGTGTGAGAGGGCTGAGTGTTAGCGCGGAGCCAACTTGTTTG